TCGCTGGAAAGGAGTGTCAGGTCGCTAGAAAGGAAATTCATATTCATTTTTATAAACCACAAACACTGTAGATACATTATATTCGGTTTATATAAATATGTATATTGTGTCTACAGTGGTGGAAATTGATATCAAGGCAAGGCAATGCTTTGAAAGAAAACCATAAATTAATTAACGAACTGAGAAATTATCACAGCATTTATTAAAGTGTCTACAAAAATTGTATGCATCGTTAGACCCAATATTGCGTCTGGTTAGTGGGCAAAATCGCATAAATGTAACAAAACACTCTAGACGTGGAAATTTGTATAAAGGCACTCTGCTGTTAGCGCCTTTGTAGCTTTGTTTACTTTGGTGTCCACAAGAGACTTGCATTTTGTGGATAATTTTGTTGTTGTTTCGACATTGCCACGAGGAACACGTTTGCCAGAGGACGAGAAGAATTCGTGCTCTTAAAGATATGGAACTTCCAGCCGTGAAATCGGTAAGAAATGAGGGCGATCAACTTGTACTATTGATAATTTTGTCAAGCTGAAGTCTCAGTATGTCAGAAACGGAAAATATGGTCGATTATGAAAGCTGAGCACCAAACGATTAATTTTGTCAAAAGAAAAAGTATTCTTCTCAAATAGTAAGTGATTAGCAATTACTTGTCACAGCTAGGGAGATTAGACAGATACTGGCAGAAGACCATAAACGTAGCTGCATACAACGACTGATAAAACCGCCTCTAACCAATGTCCACAAGATGATTGGAATTCTCAGAACAGCATATGTGATGGACCTCAGAGTGGAATGAAGTAATTTTCAGCGACGAAAATAAATTTAATTTGGACGCCCTAGAGGTTTTCAATGTTATTGGCACGTTCTCTGTAAAGAAAATCAGGTCCGCATGGCTAGAAATTCCGGGGTAGGGAAATTCCGGGAACACCCTAATAACTAAGAATTATGTAGAGATGCTTGATTGTGAACTTTTATGAAGAATGTGGTGATCTGATATTTCAGCAAGACAATGAAATCTTGCCATTCACATATATGCAGCGACAAATGAGTGGCTTCAAGAGAAAGGGTTCACAGTTTTGGGGTTTGGCTTGAAGGTCTGACTTAATTCCTAAGGAAAATATGTGAGGAATTCTAGGAAGGCGCGTGTACGGCAATTGACGGTAAATCATCTATAGATGAGTTGAAAAGTGTGATTCGATCGGAATGGCCACTAATCTCCATTGACGAAGTACTTAAAGAAAATCCATACCGAAACGAATTATTCAGGTCATCCGGAACAATGGTGGTTCTACTAATAATTAGAAAGTAGTATGAAAAATATTTTTTTACCATTTTCCTAATGAATAGTCAAAAATCAAAGGTGCCTTTCTACAGATATCCTCCTTTGCCGTTGGTTTTATTTTTTCATTTCACAAAAATATAATACTTTTATTTTCTTATAACGATTTACAAAACTGTATTTTTTACAAAACAAAGTACACATAAAATATCCGGGTCATGGTATGTTCAATAATTTAAATAATATGTCCGACAAAGACTTATTTTCTTTTACATTAGTGCCTTTATACTAATTTCCACCATTATATACTTCACTGAATGATCTTTCGTATTTGGAAAAGAGTATGACGCTGACGACGATCATGGAGGAGTGAAGACCAAGGTGATCGGAAGACAAAAACACGCTTTGCTTTCCTCCAAATTCTTCTCAGATAGAGCGAGATTCGACCCATGACCGTCGAGGTGGCAAGCAAGCCATCCGACGACCCTCGCTCCTCCATTTATGATTGTGGCTATCCCAAGACGACTGCACATCCCTGCAGGTTCCTCCTTATTCGCATTGGCCATTGTTGCGTCCCCCCCCCGCCCAGGCCATGACCCGCCGCTGCGTGCTTCCACCCGCCACGGCCCTTCCGGCCCACGCGCAGCCGCGCTCGCCGGCACTAGAAGGGGTTGGGTCAGACGCGCGCGACCACGCGTGGCGCGCCCCGCCGCGCCGCGCCGTCGTCCGCGCCGCCCGCCCCTCCCTGGTCCGCTGTCGGGCGGTGGCGGCAGTGGTCTGCGCCAGACGCGGGCGAGCCCGTCGCGGGCCGGCGGGGTGGGGGGCCGCCACCGCCGCGCCGGCCGGCGCGCCGGCCTGCGCGGGCGGCGGCGGGCGGGCAGACCACCGCCATCGCCGCCGCTAGTCGGCTCGGAGGTGCGGGCCGCGAGCGGAGCGTGGAGCTGAGCGAAGCGGCGTGGAGAAGCGCTGTGCGGTGCGGTGCGGTGGAGTGGTCGAGTGAGTCGTGTGGTGTGCGCGCTGCCGTTTCGACGCCGCCTCCGCCGCCGCCGCTGCTGCTGCTGCCGCTGCTGCGGCCGCTGCTGCTGCTGTTGCTGCTGTGTCCTCAGGTAGGCGCTCGTGGGCTCCCACGCTCTGCCCGGCGCAGGTGACGGCGCGAGTGGGTGTTTGCGCGCGGCCGTCCCGAGGGCGTGCCCAACCACCGCCGCGGCCGATGGGCAATACGAATGCCGCGCGCGGCTGCTCGGGCTTCACGCCTAATGCTTTTAGGACTGAAAGTATCATTTAAGTTAGAATCATCGCTTATTTGATTGAATTGGGCGGAAATATATTAGGTTCTTCTTTCTTATTTGGCACATCTTATTCTCTTTTGTAAAATAAATTACTACGTTAATTTGTTTCTATTTGGGTATTATCTATTGAAATTGAGATCGTGTATTTACTTTTCTTTATAATCTATTGCCAAAACAGTAACATCTGTGTCATGTATGCATGAGAGTGGGGTGACTGTAATGTGGGCAAGTTGATCTGTTGAAAATTTCTAACATATTTTGAGGTTCTGAAATGTTTATCTTTTACGCCATTTTGTTTGTGTCTTTGTATTTTCATCGTTGTTGTTTTGTTTGCCGATCTTTTGTATTTCATATTTCTTGTTTGTGGATTGGATTTAGTTTTATTAATTATGGCAGTCCCTCCGTAATGTATAAAAAAATATCCTGTCTATTCGAAGCTGTGAGGGTACATTCCATTGTGTTTCGTGAAGTGTGTAAGCAAACTCAGTCTCAAAATAATATTTATCGTAATAACTCAAACGTTTTCTTTGAGTAGTTTTGTATTATCGATTTTTTTAAAAATATTTTTTTGCATATTGTACCATGATTAGAAAACTCATTGATGTTTTGCTTATCTACACAAGTTAAAGGGGGGAAACTGAACAATATATTTTTCGAATTTCTGAATCAACGTGTGTGTGACTGGAGAAGACGAATCGAATTCTCCGTTGGAATGAAATAAGAGAAGCTCGAGATGGGATGATTCCTTTGTGTCGAAATGACCGTTCCCTGGCGTTGGTGAGAATCGGCCCATGCTGTACAGCACTCTCACAATGCACGTGTTCCGTTCCTCTCGTACGTGCGGGCGCCTGGCGGGGTCGCTCTGGGCGTCAGGTCGTTATTATGGTGAAATACGGCTTAGAGGTGAAATCTGGACCCTCAACAAATATGAAGTCTGACGTGGCTCGTAAAAGGATGCGTCTTTCAAGTGTTGGCTTCTTTTTATTGTAGGTTCATCATTAGTTGCCCAGAGGGTCCTTCCTCTTATTATCCCACAGTCGCGCGCTCTGATGGCGCTTGATAGGACTCCAAAAACTATAATTTTCTGGTAAAGGCCTCCGACATTTATGTTTTTTCTTCATTATCATAGGGTTTAGCATTAGAGCAGAATGATATTGTGGTATGTAAATATTTTAAAAAATTGATTATAAAATCATAAGTTATTTATGAATTTGTATGCGCCAAAAATTAAGATAAAATTAATGCTACTGAAAAAACAAACAAGGAACGACGCTCGTAAATGAAGACTAACATTATGAACGGTGTTGTTGTACCTGAAATGCCTTCTGCTATGTATTGAGAGTATATAATTAATTAAATATTTTCAAGACTTCTTGTACTCAAAGTCACATGAGTAGTAATGTACTCATAGAGGTCGTAACAGAGGTACTACTTGCTATTTTAGAGAGTTTATAATTTAATTAAATAGTTTCAATAATTCTAGTAGACAAAATCACTACAAAGTAATATCTTACTGATATTGCTATTATTACTTGGACTAGAAAACATATAATCACTGTAGAGTTAGTAGTTCTAATGACGATTAACATAATGGGGAATTCCTGCCTTCATTGGCTTTCCTTCGCAAGATCAAGATGACGAGTCTGTGATGAAACGAAGTCGGGCAACGAAGAGTCGATAGTCACCGCAGACACCTGTGCCGGTCACGTGATCGGGGTGGCCGCGTTGCTCATCGCGCATCGAGCATTTTCCCACCGGCTACGAGGAGCATAAGGCACATTCCGCGCCCGGGAGTCTGCCCGGCCCGGCCCGGCCCGCGGAAACCGCACAGCACAGCACAGCTCAGCGCTGGGCCAGAGGCGAAGGTCGTTTACACTCACCGCTGCGCGGGGGCGGCGCGGCGCGGCGCGGCGCTCTCCAAATCGGTTATTCCGGGCGGCGGGCGCAGCGGAGAGCGCGTCCTTGCGCCCGGGGACCCGGTTCACTGCTCGGCGACCGGCGCGGCAGCGGCAGCAGCGGAGGAGCAGCAGCAGGCGGCTTGAGCCCCGCGCCCGCCCCCGCGCGCGCCACCGCTGCCGCTGCTGCCCCGCGGCAGCGTGGACGAGGAGGAGGAGGAGGAGCGCGCATGTTAAACGGACCTCAAACAGAGCGCTGGCCGCGCCGGACACCTGGCGCTGCCCGCGGAGCCTGGCTGTTTGCGGCGGCGGCGGCGGCGGCGGCGGTGGCGGTGGCGGAGGAGGAGGAGGAGGTGGTGGTGGTGGTGATGGCGGCGACGGTAGATGCGCTGCGGCGGGAGAGGAGACGTAGGCGCAGGCGACGGCGATGAAAAGGGATGGCGGAGGAAACTACGGTGACTGAAGCTCTTTCTTGGCAACGTCAGTTCCCTGTGGATCGACACTAGCGGACCGGCCATGGGTTAGCTTTTCCCTTCTGAGTACTGCAGTACAAATCCCGGTCGATCCATGTGAATACGATGGTAGGCGAAGTGCTTTCGTGGCAAGTTGCCAGCAGTCCGTTTCCCGTAGCGGCCGGTTGTTCTGATCGGTATTTTTCCGTGGTTTCTCCGATCAACACCAGACGAATGCCAAAGCAGTGTCCTAACAAATGGGCTAGGGACCGCGCGCGATCTATCTTTCCTCTTTCTTGTCCTATCCTCGCAATCCCGCAGGACGACGTGTTGTGCGGTGCCGTATCTCATCATTCATTGTGAGAACAACAATAATAAAAACATGCACGAGACATACAGGCCTTAACATCTTAACATTTGATGTGTCCAGAAACCCAAAGTAATCAATCAGTCCATTATATAAATTGTCGACAGGGCAGAGATAGTGGACCCAAAATCTCTATCGGCGGCAGTAGCTGGCGCTGCTCTGAGTGATGAGTGCGCCAAAGGGTGACCGACAACGGGGCATCAGCGAAGATAACTGTGCAAAAAGTGACGTGGGACGTTCGGACGAGTAGCTCACGCATCCGGGTGGATGATGACGGAAAAAACATTTTCATTAATTCGTGGGACAAGGAAAATAGGCACATGATTGACAATTTATCCTCTTAAATTGTAGAATGGTTCCCTAGAGGAATCTCATTTGTAACGGCAGATCACAAAAAGGCAGGATGAAGGGGTTATGGAATACGTTGAAATTTCACGAAAAGCATGGCTTATCAAACCGACTTCCAAAGATGTAGGTGGCAAATGTGTAATATTAAAAAAGATGGAATGTTATATCAGTAGACTGACAACATTGCTAGTTTCATTACGGCTTCTTTTATTGTGTTGGACCACGGTCGTCGATGCTTAAAATAGCAGACGAATATTGAAAATAATGGAGTTGCACATAAGTATAGCAGCTGGGGGGTGATCATGCGATGTGATTGGGTAGTAGGTGATGGATGATCGATGCAGGTGCGAGTGCTTCGAGGCGGAGGCCTTCGGGGGCGTCCGCCCCTCCCCGCTCCACCTCCCGCCCACTCCGCCTTCAATTCTTCCCGCTGACTTTTAGGGGCCGCTTTAGGATCACGTCTTTTTTACCTCCGGAGCTGGCTGAGGGGGAGGCGTGCGCTGTCTGCAGGAAAGTAATTAGTTTCCTCATTAACATTTCCCTCGTTACGACGGAGGTAGATTTGTATCTTGCACGGCGCGGTGCGGGGTCAGGGGTCGGCCGCCGGCGACCGGTAGCGGCCGCGTTCCCTTCAGCCTGCAGCCCCACCGCTTATCGCCCCGCCTTCACCTGCGTTTCTGCCTCTGCTTTTGTGCATACCACTGCCTTCGTCTCCCCCTCGGCCTCCGCCTTGAGACCATCTGCCTTTGTATCCGCCTGCACCTGTGTCTCTGGCTTTGTCTGCTTTGCTCCCGCTGCCACCGTCTACCCAGTTTCTGCTTCTCTCGGGAACACCTCAGCCCTCCTCTCTTCCGCCTCCACGCCGTTGCTACACTGCCACCTCCGCTCTGTACTTGCTCTCTTCTTCACCTCCTGCAACTTCGCCATTACGCCGCTCTAACTCAGTGCCCACCTTTATCGCCGCCTCCCTCACCTATGTTTCTGCCGTCGACTCAAGCTTCGACTTTACTGTGCCTCTGTGCATCCACTTTCGTATCTACCAATGTCTTTGCATCTACCTCCGCGTTCGCCTTCGCATCTACAATTGCCCTCGCGTTTGCGTTTCTCTCCGTTTCCCCTTAGCCAGCCCCTTCACAGCATTTGCATCTGCCTGCACCTGTGACTGGCTTTGTCTGCTTTGCTCGCGCAGGCACCGTGTCCCCAGTTTCGGCTTCCTCCGAAGCAGCTACTCTCGACGACGCCTTACCCCTTCCGTTCTCTCCCTTCGCCCTTGCTACCGTTCTTCGATCTGTCTTTGCTCGCACATTCACCGCGTTCTTCTACATACCATCCCTACCACCTGAGGGCCCCGCCCCCTTCGCCCTTGTTTCTGCCTCCTACTCGAACTTCGATTCTCCTCTACATCCTCCCTCTTCGCATCTGCCCCTATTGACCACGCGTCTGTGGGCGTAATCTATGGTTTTCCTACATCGACCTGCCTTCGCCCGCTTGCGTTGCTCCCCTGCTCCTGTGCAGCTTGCCATTGCCATTGCCAACGCCAACGTTGCCATTGCCAACGTTCCCATTGTATTTTCCCTGAGTCTTCGTCTTTTTTGCAACACCTTTCTTCATTCTCATAAATTTTATTCCCTTCGCTGCGCCTGTTTTCTTCTCTTCTCTGGATATCTGTTGCACTCTCCGACACCTTCCGGTTTCACTGTACAACATAATACATTGTCGCCACCTCTTCATTTATCTGTCCCTCTCATTTTGAGT